TGTGGGCCCAGGCCCCTCTTCCTTCCATTCAGAAAAACACACGGCAGTTAACTGCATCCGTGTGTGCATCTGAGAAGGTAAACACACTTCATTTCCTGTTCATTGAGGGATAAAGGTATATGTGGCCTTTTGGTTCTCTTTTTGGGATCTACAATGAAAAAGGAGGGGAGAGCAGAGAATGGGTCACTTTACCTTGTCTGTTCTATGTTCCCACAAGGCCCTACCCTTAGAAAACCACAAAGGGAGGCTAGGTTTGCAATTACTTGAAGAGCGGGAAGGTGGATGAGAATCCAAGAGATGCTCTTTATTTTCTATTTGTCCAGGAAAAAGCAAAAACCTGACTCCGAAGCAGTCAGAAATCGAAGCTGGAAAAGAAGCAAGTGATGTGCGTTCTTGAGGTCCTCTGAAGAGATGTCTTGGAGACAACAGAATAAATGACCCTGTAAATTTTCTTTATCCTACTGGGCACCTTGACCAGAGCACCTGGAGTTGTGGCCTAGCACAGGTGATGGGGAGGAACTCTTCCTGGATTAGACAAGGAAAACCCACCAACCACAAAGATGCAAGCTTCAAATGAGTGTATCTGTGCTGCTAGTATCCTAGCGGGAATCAGAATGCAATGACCTCAATGTGTGTTAATACACAGGTAGAAGGTTCTAGAACTATGCCGTAGCCAACCACCATGTGCAGGTAGGGGGCATTTAAAATGTGGTGAATTGAATTAAGATGTGCTGTAAGGGTAAAATGCACACCAGATTTCAATGACTTGGTGTGAAAAAATAACATAAAATATATAGACTATTGTATTAACAATTTAGATGAATCATAAATTGAAATAATATTTATTCTAGTAAAATATTTTTAAAACTTTTATTTTCGGTTCAGAGTTTGTTATATAGGTAAACTCGTATCACAGGGGTTTATTATGCAGACTATTTTGTTACCCAGGTACTAAGCCTAGTACCCAATCGTTATTTTTTCTGATCCTCTCCCTCCTCCCAGCCTCTACCTTCTGAGAGGCCCCAGTAGGTATCGTCCCTCTTTTTTTTTTTTTGACGGAGTCTCGCTTTGTCACCCAGGCTGGAGTGCAGTGGCACAATCTCGGCTCACTGCAAGCTCTGCTTCCCGGGTTCACGCCATTCTCCTGCCTCAGCCTCCCGAATAGCTGAGACTACAAGTGCCCACTACCACGTCTAGCTAATTTTTTGTATTTTTTAGTAGAGATGGGGTTTCACCATGTTAGCCAGGATAGTCTCGATCTCCTGACCTTGTAATCCACCCACCTCGGCCTCCCAAAGTGCTGGGCTTACAGGTGTGAGCCACTGCGCCCTGCTGGTGTTGTCCCCCTTTTTATGTCCATTTGTTCTCATCATTTAGCTTCCCCCTGTTTTTTTGTTTGTTTGTTTGTTTGTTTGTTTGTTTGTTTGTTTTTGGGACATGGAGTTTCACTCTGGTCACTCAAGCTGGAGTGCAATGGCAAGATCTCAACTCACTGCAACCTCTGCCTCCTGGGTTCAAGCAATTCTGCCTCAGCCTCCCGAGTAGCTGGGACTACAGTCGCCCACCACCAGGCCCAGCTAACTTTTGTATTTTTAGTAGAGACGAAGTTCCACTATGTTGGCCAGGTTAGTCTCCAACTCCTGACCTCAGGTGATCTGCTTACCTCAGCCTCCCAAAGTGCTGGGATTACAGGCGTGAACCACTGTGCCTGGCCAGCTCCCATGTATAAGTGAGAACATGTGATATTTGGTTTTCTGTACCTGTGTTAGTTTGCTAAGGATAATGGCCTCTAGCTCCATCCATGTTCCCACAACAGACATGCTCTTGTTCTTTCTTATGGCTGCATAGTGTATGTCATGGTGTATATGTACCACATTTTCTTTATCCAGTCTATCACTGATGGGCATTTAGGTTGATTCCATGTCTTTGCTATTGTGAATAGTGCTGCAATGAACATATACATGCATGGGTCTTCATGGTAGAATGATCTATTTTCCTTTGTGTGTATACCCAGTAATGAGATTGCTGGATTGAATGGTGTTTCTATTTTTAGCTCTTTGAGGAATCACCACACTGTTTCCCACAACGGTTAAACTAATTTACACTCCCACCAAAAGTGTGGAAGTATTCCCTTTTTTCCACAATCTCGCCAGCATGTTATTTTTTGACTTTTTAAAAATAGCCATTCTGATTGGTGTTCGATGGTATCTCATTGTGATTTTGATTTGCATTTCTCTAATGATCAGTGATACTGAGCTTTTTTTTTTTTTTTTTTTTAATGTTTTCTGGCCACATGTATGTCTTCTTTTGCAATGTATCCCAGTAAAATTAATTTTGCTTGTTTCTCTGTACTTTTAGAAGTATGGCTACTAGAAAATTTATGATTGTGTATGTGGCTCAGATTGTTTTTCTATTAAAGACAGCGCTGTCTGGACTCTAGAAGATATTCTGATTCAAGAGGATGTAAAGAAATTCTCTAAGTCAATAAGAAAAATAAAAGAAACCCAAATGGGCAATGAGTGCATGGGAACTCACCTCAGTGGAAAAGAGGGAATGGCAAGCCAGCCCACCGAAGCCCACTGGCAACATAGGACAAGCCTGCAAAGCAGAGACAGCCCCTCCAGGAAGAGCAGCCAGGCCTTGGGAGGACATGGCCTCAGGACCAGATCCAGGGAGGACACAGTCACTAACCCCTGGCTCATCTGGCAGGTGTGGGCAGCAGCCAGGCCCGTGGCTTCACCAGCTCCCCATGATCTCTGCCTTCAGCTGTCCTACAACCTGGGTCGGGCACCTATGCAGCTTTATGGCAGGCAGAGATGCACCACCCACATCCCCTTTCCAGGTAGGGCTTGCTGCCCTGGCTGTAGCGAGTGTGGCAGCAGATGGCCTCCAGCTATCAGCAACTTCAGAGAGCTGCCTTGCCTGAGGTCCTGTCCCTTCTGGGGAAGCTCCCGTCTGCCAGAGGGGCTACAAAAGCACAGTGGACACCATGATGGGCAAATATGGCTCATGGGAGCACCACTGGTGGCTGAGGCACTGTTGGGCCACATAGCAGTTGACTTTGCCCTCTCCACCTTCTTTTCACAAGAGTTGATCCCAAAAAACATCCATCCTCTTCCATCCCAAACTGTCTTGGCATCTGCTTCTGGAGAGCCCAGCCTGGGGCAAGTTTCATGGGAAAGGGCACGTCTCCTGCAAGTTGCCTGTGACCAGGAAGATGGAGGAGGGAGATGTGTCCCCATGGGTTCCAGTTTGTCCTTGCTCGTCCCCTTCACGCTCACCTGTGCTTCCTGAATGTAACCAAGATACAGCAACTTCAGGCCCACCATCAAACTTACCAGCTCAAGCACTGCAGAGGGTATAACTTCTTTAATAAATCCCTTGTTCCAGGCTGGGCATGGTGGCTCACACCTGTAATCCCAGCACTTTGGGAGGCTGAGGTGGGAGGATCACCTGAGCCCAGGAGCTCAAGATCAGCCTGTAGGCAACACAGGGAGACCCTGTCTCTACCAGAAAAAAAAAAAATAGTAAAATAAATTAGCTGAGTACAGTGGTATGTGTCTGTAATCCCAGATACTCCAGAGGCTGAGGCGAGAGTATAGCTTGAGAGTATAGCTTGAGCCCAGGAGTTTGATGCTACAGTGAGCTATGATCGCACCATTACATTCCAGCCTGGGTGACACAGAGATACCCTGTCTCTAAAAAACAAAAAATTTTTAAAATCTCATTTTGTTTCACTTAAAGTGGCTCTGCTCCCTCAATAAGCCCTGTCATTAGGAAAAGAAAAAGAAAGCTTTAGAAAGGACCAAAAAAAAAAAAAAAAAAACCACGATTTTTGACATCAGAAATGTTCTGCCTTAAAATGTGTTTAATTTTCCTGAAAACATGTAGTTTAATACCAATAGAACATTTTATGTGACCCTGTAGGATTTCGTCAGAAACTGTTAAATATTAGGCTACCTTTTCAGTTTTTAGCCCTATTTTAACTGAGGTTTGATTCTGAAAGAGTGAAATTCAAGGGTGATGAGTGTAGGCTGTGAGCTTTAGAGAAAGGAAAGGACCCTAGCATGGGACATTAGATGCGTGCTTTACCAATTCCTGAGTCTGGCCAGTTGGCACTGGAAGGGCCTCTTGGTTTCAGAAGGTAGGATCCTCTAAGACGGAGTATGGAAAACCCAAGAGGTGTTAAAAGCATTGTTCCTGCACTCAGGACACAAAAGTTCCCCCCAAGAACCCCAAGGCGATTGTTTCTAGAACCCACGGGTCCATAAGGCCCTCCCCGCTCCCTGAGGTCTGGGAAAAATGGCCTCGAACCCCATTACCCCCCACTCAACTTCTCCCTCTGCACCATCTTTTCGCAAGTGTTGATCCCAATAAACATCCATCCTCTTCCATCCCAAAGGCAGGGCTTGCTGCTCGGTTGTGGCAAGCACTTCTCTCCCTTCCTTCACACAGGATGTGAGTGGCAGAGGCACCTGGTGCCCTCTACCCACCATCCAAGCATGACTGCTGTTGCTTTTCTTCTATCTTCTGAATGTCATGCAGTTTTTCTTGGGGCCAACCCTGAAGAGAACCATAGGGGAAGAAAATTCTGGGCAAAGTAGTCCCAGTCAAGCTGACACAGGGCAAACCACCACCCCCAAACCAGATGATCGCACTCCCCAGTCTCCCTGGACACTGGCCACCACGCAGCAGCCTCCCTTACACTGGTGGCTGAGGGGCTGATGGGGCAGGAACAGTGCCAGTGCCTGCCCAGGGGCCTGTGTTCCCACGACTTTGCACCCTCTGTCCTCCCACAGACAGCCGCCCAGTCTAGGGGAGTAAAGTGCAGGTAGTGATAACAGTAACCACCCCAAGGCCCTTATTGTTCTGAATTAATTATGGTAAATTAATACATATTCTATTTACCTACATTAACATAAACTAGTTAGGGACTTCACAACTGCAGCATTACCAGCCAAAGATGAAAATAATGACCTGAAGAAAGGAATGAGTCAAAATTACACATTCCTGCAAAGCGGTTTATTGAGAGCTGATTTGTCAGTCAAAGAACAAACCATAATGATGGGAATATTGATGATTTCAACATAAAAAAATTTAAATAAGGTCAATCTTTACATACTAATTAGGGGCCACCTACAAGACGTATCGGGCAAAAAGAACAAGATGCAGAACAGTGTGTGGCTGGTTTGCTACCGTTTGTTTTAGAAGAGGGGAAAGAATATATATGTGCTACAGACATGTTTACATTCTATGTGTACTTTTATGTACATGTGCTTATACCACATGTACGTGCATATCTAACTTTGCACAACCCCTGGAAAGGCAAGTCGACGCTGGTGTCATTGGTGGCTGAGGAGGGAGGTGGTGGCTGTGGGACAGGATGGGAGGGACACATCCCTACATAATACTTCATACCTTTTAGCTGTGAACCATGTGCAATTATTACCTATTGAAAAATAAGTCAAAAACTAAAAATCAAATACATAAAAAAACTGCAGCAATAAACCATTAAAAAACATACATTCAGTTTATCACAGCCCACAGTATACTGGGAGCTGTCCATTTAGTACTGATGGCTTATACTGTCATATGATTTTTTTAAAAAATCTCCTGAGTTCCTCTCAACCTCAAATACACATTTTAAAAAGACATGATTAAAGAATAGCCAGAGCTGCACATATTCTTTTTTTTTTTTTTTTTGAGACGGAGTTTTGCTCTTGTTGCCCAGGCTGGAGTGCAATGGCACGCTCTTGGCTCACCACAACCTCTACCTCCCATGTTCAAGTGATTCTCCTGCCTCAGCCTCCCGAGTAACTGGCATTACAGGCATGTGCCACCATGCCTGACTAATTTCGTATTTTTAGTAGAGACGGGGTTTCTCCATGTTGGTCAGGCTACTCTTGAACTCCTGATCTCAGGTGATCTGCCAGCCTCAGCCTCCCAAAGCACTGGGATTACAGGCATGAACCACCGTGCCAGCCACCGCACATATTCTTAAATGAAGTCCCGGGGAGGCCTCAGGTCTAACAGTCATCCAGTCTGAGGCTCCTAGTTTGGGCGAGTTGGTCCTCGAGTCCTTGGCCCAACTTGGCAGCAAAGAGTGAGGTGATGAGGTCATCTCCAGTGTTCAGAGCCAGGTTGTACGCTGTCTGGCCTCCTGCATTCTTCTTTCGGATGCTTGCATTGCATCTGCAAAGGAAATGGAGAAATGGAGGTGCACTGAAGGACTTGAGCATGTGCCCCTAAGAGCTTGACTCTTCCCTGCCACGGAGGCCAGTCTGGGCCCCTCCTGCTCCCACCTCCCCAAACCTGTCCTCGAGAGGTCACAGTGACTTCAGTTCTCAGAGGTGGCTCTACCCTGAAACCTTTAAAGAGGCCTGTGATTTCAAAATGTCCAATTGCTAACCCTGGCCATTGGTTCCCATTGCATTAAAGTCCTACAACCAAGTATGTTTAATGGGGGCGACATTTTCATTGTGCTTTGAAAAGCCTTTAGTGCCCAGGGAACCGTGGTGGGATGGTGGTCCCCACGGACAGGGACAGCAGTTCAGGAACCAAGGCCTCTCTTAAAATCATCACAGGCCATTAGGGAGATACCTGTGGCCCTCAAAAGTATCCATCAGAGGCCAGGGGACATACCCCAGTAAAGTGGCGATGCTCTCTCTTCCTGCAAGGCCAAGCAGAGTAGCTTCGTGAAGAGCTGTATTTCTGAGCCTAATTAGGGGGAAAAAAATCCTGGATAAATCCTTAGTTAGCATCATCAGGAAACTGGAGAGGATGCATGGGACCCAAGGTCCTGGTTTTTTTCATCGACCTACTTAACTAACCTGGGAAACCCTTTGAGTCTCCTCTCTCTGCCCTTCTCTTGGAGGAATACTGTGATAGAGGGTAAGCTTTGATACTAGACAGTGAAAAGGTTATAAACACATTCATTTTTTAATGCGAGAAACCCACAAGGATATGGTTGGTAGTTGATTTAATAAATGCTAATAAACACCATTGTTCTAAACTGCCTGCAAGAGTTTATGCAACGTACTGGACATAGTCTTAACTTTGGCTTGGACCCCTCGGGCATGATAGTAGCTTCTTAGGGCTGAGGCTCCTATTTTTGTGTAGGGAAAATGACCTTGGCTCCAGTCAGTTGGGCTTACGTGACATGAAAATAAACACCAATCTTAGAAGCCAGGGGGCAGGCCTGAGAGGTCAGACACAGCATATTTTGCTGCAATGCCAGGGTTTCTCTTCATATTTCCTGGTCAGGTTTGACCTAGTGAGGGAGGAGTGGGCAACTGAAATGGAGGTCAGGGTGGTACCAGGACTCCTGAAAGGCTCCTATGCAGAGGTGGCAGGAGTGAAGGAGGGCAAGAGTCATGACTGAAAGTAGAAATGAGATGGGCATTCAATGTCTGAACTCTCTCTGCCCCTGCTCCTTCCTTTGATGCCAACACCCTCATCCCCCACACCTGCAGATGTGCCTGCAGCCATGCATTTATCCCTATGGAGAAAAAGGATAGTGGCTTCTTCTCTGAGGAAGATAAAGAGAGCCTCTGGTGAGAATCAGAGGGAAGCCTTTCACTTTCGGGCACCCAGGGGTCCCAGCCTGGGAGTAGCTCCACCTACCCAGAAAGCCTCTTGGTTGACAAAGCCCTTCTCTTATATACAAAGTTACCAGTCATCTAGCACAAACTCTATTCTCAAATGTGAATGGACCACCAAGGCTCATAGACATCTGAGAAAATCCTGCAGAATCAAAGAGAAAACCAAGATACACAAACACGAGGAATTTAAAACAAGACAAAAATCTAACTGGTATCTGCAGAATGATTCAAGACAATGTTGCACAAAAATATGAAACTATGAGAAAGAAACAATCAGAACAAAAGTAGCTCCTAGAAAGAATAAATGCGATTATTGAAATAACAATTATTCAATAGGAAGAATGGACAACAAAGTTAGGAAAATCTCTCGAAAGATGGAAGAGAGAAAGATAGATGAAACTATGGAAAAACACAAAAGACAGACAGACGTAGGGAATCAATTCAAGTAGTCCACCATCCAACTAACAGTTCTAGAAACAGAATAGAAAAATGGAGGGGAGAAAATGCCAAAGAGATAATAGAACAAACTTTTCCTAACCTAAAGAAAGATAAGACTTTTTAAATTGAAAAGGCCAACTGGGTGAATCAAAAACAGCACATCTAAAAATACCCTTGTGAAATTTCAGAACATCAAGGATAAATGCTTTCAGAAAGAACAAACTGGTCACAAATGAAGAATTTGCCATTGAATGTTCATGGGCTATGCTGTGTGCTAGTGTGTTAGTCCATTTGCACACTGCTGATAAAGACATACCCAAGACTGGGCAGTTCACAAAAGAAAGAGGTTTAACTGGAATTAGTCTGGAAAAGACTCCATTTCCTCCTTATGTTTCATTCCTTCTTCCTCACTGGTGGCATAGAGCGTAACTGTCTGTCACTTCACCCCTACGGTTCCTTGGACCTTTATAAGGCATTTACCATTTGAACTGGGATATATTCATAGGGTTACCACGTCTCCTATGTAGACTTATGATCTTCTTTCTTTACAATTCTCTCCAAATTGAGAGCAGAGGATTCATTCTATGTATTGCATGGGGGGTTTGCTGGTGGTTAGATTTTCTGTGCTGGCTATTTCCTGTGGATCCACAGTTCAGTTTTGGAAAATGCTGAATGGTGACTCTGCCATGGAATTTGTACTTTAAAGAAACTTTACTATTAATATACAAACAATTCAAACTATTTACTCAAATCTAAGTATCATGGTAGATTAATGTACATTCTCTCCTTAAATTACCTAATGGAATAAGTGTCCACAGCCGAACCTCTAAGAAGTAGACTGATGCTTGCATCTTCCTCACCTGGCTACTGGGGCAGAGCCAGGGGATGGCACGTTTGGAGTCGCCAGTGCAGTGAGGAAGGGCAGCTCTTGTCCAAAAGCAAACAGCATTTCTCTGGGCCTCTCACCTAGTGAGATCTTGAATCTGTGTTTCTGAAATGTGCTAGTAAGAGGAATGAGCTTTGGTGGAGGATGTGAATTTCTCCTAGCCATTCCCTTGTGTTGAATATGATTTCATTCTGGTAGGAATGATACAAACATGGAACTAGGAAATGAGGAAAGAGCTTTCTGCCACCTGCCAAGCTACTTAATGGAAGTTATCTGGTGTAGAGACCACTTAGGCTCCACTAGCCAAACATGCTCGGATGGGAGAGAGCATTTTAATTGTTTGCTAAGGAACAACTCTCTGAACCTCTTTTACGGTAAAACCAGATCTCTGGATGATTTATGCCTAAAAGCAATAGGATGAATGGAATTTCGAGGTCATGTTCCTGGGTCTACAGAGGTCCAGCTCCAGGCCCAAACTCTTGGAACTAACAGATACAAACCAGACTTGGCAGAATGTGGCTGTCAGTGGGAAATGCTACTTTCCTCTACTGGCATGCGCTGGAAAGGAAGAAGAGATCCCTGTGCCATATTTAAGAGAGGGCCAACCCTCTAGCTTTCCTCCCCACAACCGTGTGAGCTACATACTGGCCACAGTCACCATGATCCTGCAGGGGGGTGACAAAGGCTACTACGCACCATTCAGATAGACAGGTGTAACCGCAGCATTAGACTTTACAGACATGCGATGAGATCACATGTGGATAAATGCCAATTTGTAGAATGGTGATGAAGCAAACATGGAAGCTGAGGCACAGCAAAATAAAAAGGCGATCTGTTCAATGCCCAGGGCACTTTCCTCCTCTCAGCTGGACTGTTCATAAAGCCAGGACTCATGTAGCTTACACTTCAATTCAAAATGTGCTCAAGTAATTTCTGTATCAACCACAAACATACTTAAATGCTATTAAAAAAGCTTTTCTGAATTATAAAAATATAAAATATGCCTTAACACAAAACAAGGTAGCACCATTTTATTAATAATGACAATAATACAACAGTGTAGGATAAATAAAGAAGTTGACACAGTAAACCCTAAGCAAACTTGAGAAAATAAATTCCAGCCATCAAAGCTTTACACCAACACACCAAATATTCTGCTGTAAAGTAAAACTAAAAAAAAGGGGTAGAAACTATTAAAATGCAGACATTAGTAAAATGCATATAGAAAAATTAACAGCATTATATTTTGAACACTAACACTAGAGACAATTCTGAAACAGAATAACAAGCAAAGCTACTGAAATTTTGGCCTCTGTGGTGGCACGAAGTACACAGCAGAATGTTCCACTGACACGGACCTTGACCTTGCCTTAGTAAGACCTCAGGAGGCAGGAGTGCTAGATGCCTGTGATGTCCCTAGAAGACTTACGTCAACAATGTGGTCGGCAAGATATGAGCAGTTAACATGAATGACTCATGCTCGAGGAAATTTTCACCTCACATTTTCAAAGTAATTTTCAAGAGAACAACAGAAGCATATGGCTGGAAGAGAAGGTTATGGGACAGGAGTGGACCAAGACTAGGACAGTAAGTAACAGGACTTGGTACCTTTCTGTCTTGTATCACGGGTGGGAAAGCAAGGCAGCAGGAGACCACGTGGTGGCCTCAGATGTGCCAGTCTCCTCCGCAGTGTGTGAGATCTGGAGACAACCGTATGACATTTTCTTTCCGCATTAACTTCATGGGGAATACACTGAGGTGTGTCTTCCCTTGGTGTTATCATGATTCATGATGAAAACACTGATTAACACCCCAAGGGCTAAGGATTTACTGGCCCCATACAGTATAAGCTTATGAATTAACAAAATGTATCATCATTTATGAAAGCCACTAAATTAGACAACCCAATAGTCCATTTTAAAAATTTCGCTTTACCCAGCTATGGAAAACAGAAGGCGTTAAGCCTCTTATTAAAGCTGAAATAGGTTAAAATGGTTCAAGTGGCTGAAACTGAACAGGGCGTGTGTGTAGACTGCTTCTGCCGCAGTGGAGCTCCAAGCAGTTAGCCTGCTGCTACCTTAGCTCTCCTGTCAATGTGTTTCACTTACGGCCCCCACTGTTGGTCGATGTCTGCTCCTCTCTGCACGAGAACCGGAATCGCTTCATGGTGCTTATTCATAACAGCCACGGTTATGACGGGTCGATTGTCTTCATCACAGCAGTTGGGGTCTGCCCCCTGCAGCAAATGGAAAAGGAAGAACTCGCCAAAAAACCCTGCACTCAACAGCATCCAGTCGCCACCGTATGAGGTATAACAGATGTGCTTTACAGAGCTGATGGAACGAACGTGCTTTCAGATCAAAGGAGAGGAGAATCAGGAACCTCAAGACCAGATCTACAATTAACAGAGCTACAAAGTGACCCAGGTGACAAAACTTCTGTTCCCAGCACGGGCGGGGAGGGGAGGGCAGCACCCTGACAACTTGCTTCTTCAGGAAACCCAGGATAAAGGTAATATGGGGTCACGGGCCAGAGATTCTATCCAGCTTCATGCATGTTCCTTGGTCTCATCTGTGCTTCTCTGCCTATTTTCTCTGATATAAAAACTAGCAAGAGGGAACAATTAATATCAAGCTTTTGACTAGCCATTCACTGCACCCTGAGTTTTTAATCAAAGGGCAGTGTAATTTTCACAGTATTGAACAAACCTTCCATCTGAAGGAGACAGAGGTGGAATGCCAGGCTGACCTCTTCAGAGAGATCTGCTCCTTTGGCGACACTTGCCTCATCCAGCAGCTGTTCAATCACAGAGACTCTTCCTTCCCCCGTGGGTCCGACTTCCTTCAGCAGGAGTCTGTTTTCAGGCTGTAGGATTTACAGAATGTGGTCATTTCCCTCGCCTCAAAATATTCACTCAAGGCAAACACTTTCTTTCCAACGTTGAATTCTAAGTCACAAGGGCAGGTGACTATGAGTGTGTGCATGAGAGTGTGTGTGTGGTCTTCAAATAGCCCACAGCACAAATATCCACATCTAATGTCAATCTTGCTGCTTCAAAACCTTGCTTCAGGCAGGGTTACCACATGGACACTGTTTTATATTAAGGACAAGGATGCCATGAGAAACCTCACAAAACCCAGAAACTCAACACTAATTTTATTATGACTAGCTCTAGGAAAAGCAATCAGGTGAGTCCTAAAATTTATTTTGCATACTTTATAAAGTGTTCAAGGTCAGTTGAAGTATGACAGTTCAGAAAATGTACTCCCCTGAGGAATGAATGAGCCAATACATTGACTTCTTTAGAAAAAAAGGCCGGGCATAGTAGCTCACGCCTGTAATCCCAGCACTTTGGGAGGCCGAGGCAGGCAGATCACTTGACGTCAGGAGTTCGAGATCAGCTTGGCCAACATGGCGAAACCCTGTCTCTACTAAAAATATAAAAATTAGCCAGGCGTGTTAGCATGCCTATAATCCCAGCTACTTGGGAGGCTGAGGCAGGAGAATCGCTTGAATCCAGGAGGCAGAGGTTTGAGTGAGCCGAGAACACACAACTGCACTTCAGCCTGGGCAACACAGTGGGACTCTGACTCAAAAAACAAAACAAAACAAAACACAGAAGAAAAGCTCTCAGAAATCTCAGTATCTTTTTTTTTCTTTTCTTTTCTTTTTTTTTTCTGAGATGGAGTTTCGCTCTGTCGCCAGGCTGGAGTGCCAGTGGCATGATCTTGGCTCACTGCAACCTCCGCCTCTCAGGTTTAAGTGATTCTCCTGCCTCAGCCTCCCGAGTAGCTGGGACTACAGGCATGTGCCACTACTGCTGGCTAATTTTTTGTATTTTTAATAGAGATGGAGTTTCACCGTGTTAGCCAGGATGGTCTCGATCTCCTGACCTCATGATCCGCCCTCCTCAGCCTCCTAAAGTGCTGGGATTACAGGCGTGAGCCACTGGGCCTGGCTGAAGAACTTATCTTTTTATGTTTTTAAATGCCATATATTCATCTTTATATATAAAGAATTTCAAATGCTGGAAGACTGAAGGAAGCTGTTTAGAAAGCAAGAGACATTGCTTTTAGTATGTTGCCTCTGGATCCTGGATATGGCTGTGGGGTGGTCACAGGACCACCATTTCCATTTGTAAAGTAGAAATAAAACCTTCCCTGTCCTTGCTCCTGTGAAGCCATGGCCTTGAGGACACTGGTCAAGGCCTCTGAGCCTTTGAAGATGATGCCTGGTCCAGGCGGTGCCGCCTCCTTTCTCACTGTCCCCATCTTACCGATGAATAGCTTGGAACCAAGTGCTCTAATCAGTAAACCCCCAGCAGGGGTCTTGGGGAGCACTTGTTTACACCCATTTCCATTCCTCATGGAAAAGTGTACTAGAATGCACTGGACTGTCAGCTTCAGGAGGTGTGAGGGTTTACGTCTTTTGTTCAGGTTTTATTTTCAACACGTACAGCAGTGCCTGGTACATGTGTGCTCAAAAAATCATCACTGAATGAGTGAACAAAAGTTACAGCTTCTGATACGTATCTCCTAAATGCAAATGAGAAAAAAAAAAGGCATACACAGTGGGAGATTCAGGTTATACACAGAGTAAATAGGTAGAGTCTCCCAAATTGTAAGCTGTTCAGTTTATGGAACTCTATGCTTCTTTTATACTCATTAACAATATTTCAAACTGGGAGAAGGTGGTGAGTACAAGAAGTCCTAAACAATAAAAGGTAAAACAATTCTAACGTATTCTTTCCAAATTTACTGGTGTTTGTTACATACAAAGCATGTGGTGTGAAAAAAAAAATAAGATAAAGAACAGAGTCCCCACCCCCAGAGGAATCAGGATGCAAGCTGGGGAGCTGGTGCCTGCACTGACAAGGCCCCATTGAGGGCCTGGCCTTGGAACCACACATGGAGGGAAGCACCCAGCATCATGCAAGTGTCTAGCTCGGGCCTGGGCCCGGGCCTTGGGGCTTGCTGCTAATCACATCTGTTCTTTGCATTGCAGTCAAAGAGGACCAATTAAAAGGCAAGGTTGGGGATGGAGCAGGTGGCATCCACTGCTCTTTTCTCCAAAGCCCCTTTTAGAATTATTCTTGGCATATATTTTTAAAACACAAAACTCTAAAAGATATGGGAAACTCTGAAAGGGTACTGACCATCGGTGAATTGGTAATTTTGAGAAATTCCAAGAAGACTGAAAGTAGATGAAATCTGACTGACAGGGAAACCAAACCAAAACAAACAAACAAAAATCCAGCTGAAGACACCAGAGGTAGGAGTGTTTTCTCTCCAGGGGAGCCCTGCAAAAGCTTAAATTAATCAATATAGAGGTTAGGTGTTGGGTGCAGCCTGAATGCATGAGTAGATTACTAAGGGCTCTATGGTGAATAGCTGAGATCTCTGGTGCCTTACCCCTTCTCCCCCATGTAAGAAGGGCAGGAGGCTTGTGGTCTTTGCCCTGATAACTATTTTGCAGAAAGTATAAGATTTGCCCAACAAAGGATTCTATTTGGTGCAATGGGGCCCAAGAAGGGAGAAGGGCAGAGCCTAGACCTCCATGACGGACATCGGGGAGGGTGTAGAGGGAAAGGAAAAAAGCTTCATCACAAACTGAAACCTGTGAGAATGCTTCACACCACCAACACCCTCACCACCAGAGGAAGACCTTTTCCACCAGCAACATAGAGGATCTGAAGGCTTTCTCCTGCTCCCTGCCCACACACCCTCCAGGGACGTCTGTCCACAACATGCCCATCCACTCACACAGGGACTTCAGGGCCCATCCTCATGCTGGGCACCATGCCAGCATCTGCACTACCTAACTAGTCTTCATTTGTCAAATGACCAGATAACCAAGGATCTGTATTTGAGGCAAACCAAAGACAAGGAAGAGAAAGATAGGCAGACAGAACTGACCCCAGAGGAAACACAGAGATGATTCAGGGAACTGATGGGAACTTTGAAATAACTCTAATTCATAATCTTGAGCTATTTTAAAGAAGTCTACCTCTACAAAATAGAAGCCCTTATTAAAAAAAAGGAACAGAAAATGAGAAATTATTCTTCCATTTTAAAAAAGTCAAATAAAACCTGAAAATCACAGACTGAAGACAATATCCATAAGGACCAAAAAAGACACTTACTAAAAGCTGCTCCTTCTTTTCTTGAAAAGCTTTGGTCTTGAAATTCCTTATCCTTTTGATTTTTTCAATAGCATCTGAGGTGCTCTGGCTGTAGTCACTCACTGAAATGACACAGTTGGGGAAAAAAATGATGCCCCTCCCCCAACTCCCCACACAGAGTTATTTCTTACTCCCATGTCCCTCAAAAGAGGACAAAATGACTTTCATAGAAATTTCTATTTGATGAAACCTGGCGGGAGAGACTCCTGGAGCCACTCCCCTGTCCAGGAACCAGAGGAAGGGTGGGAAGGAGAGGAAAAGAAGGGACTTTAGTTTTTAGTTCCAAAAGTGCACCCCACAAATGAATTTCCCCAAGCCCTGTAAAGGAATTCAAAGGTCTCACCTCTGACTTCGGAGAAGCCAGAGAAATAAAATGACTGGAACATAGTTGCAAGATCTGTGACTGGGCTGTCAAACTCTTAGCAATGCTCTGCTATCCCCGCCAAGTCCATGTGTTCCTGGTTAGTTGTTTTAAAATTGCCAGAAGGGAATAACTCACCCCAGCTGGACCTGCTGCCGCACAGCCCCCCATCACCCTCGGCAGCACTGCTCAGAAGGTGGTCGCTGAAATTCACCGCCTTGTTCAGGTAGAGGTTCTGGCCAATGAAAACATTCAAACACCAGGAATGATGAGGCTGCTTTGTCCCACTAGAAAGAAGGATCTCTCTGCTAACCTGCTCCTCCTCATTAAGGACAGCTCTACCTACCCAGACAGTCCAGCCTGAGACCTGGGTGTCCTTCCTGACTCCTCCTTACCCCCCAGGATGCTTTGTCCATTCTGCTGCTTACCCAGAGGCTCAGTCTGGCCCCTCCTCCTCTCCCTCACTGCAGCCCTGGCCCCCTCAGCTCACACTGGGACCATCACAATAGCCTCTCCACAGGGGTCTGCCAGCCTCCCTGCATGTGGCTGTCCCAGTCACCTTTTATACCCTTTATAAGTGATTGTGTCAATTCTCTGCTTAAAGTCCTTCAGTGTCTTGGAATTAGGGTGTCATGATGAAGGTCCCAGGCTGCCAAGTGTGAATCCTGGGTCTGCCACTTACTAACTTAGTGCCCTTGGAAGAAGCAGGTTGCTTAACTTCTCTGAGCCTCAGTTTCCTCACCTGGAAAGTGGAAATACTATGAGCTACCTTAATGGCATGTTGTAAAAGCAAAATGCGGTAAAAGGGGCATCTATATAATGAGGCCAGACACAGAAGTCTGTGTGCACCCGGACTAATCCCCCTGCACCCTCAAGTGGCTGCCTGCTTTTGTCCCAGGCAATAGCCTGCTACTTCCTGAACACTAGAACACACAGCCTAAGAAAAGATTTATTAAACCTAAGAATCAGGTGCAGTGGCTCATGCGTATAATCCCAGCACTTTGGGAGGCTGAGACAGGTGGATCACTTGAGGCCAGGAGTTCGAGACCAGCATGGCCAACATGGTGAAACCCCATCTCTACTAAAAATATAAAACTTAGCTGGGTGTGGTGGCGTGAACCTGTAATCCCAGCTACACAGGCAGCTGAGGAACAAGAATTGCTTGAACCCAGCAGGTGGAGGTTGCAGTGAGCCAAGATTGTGCCACTGCACTCCAGCCTGGTTGACAGAGCAAGAATTTGTCTCAAAAAAAAAAAGAAGAAAAAAAAATCACCTGGGAACAGTTATTCCAATTCTGGTGGCCCACCCCGTTCCCACTAGCTGGCCAGGTTACTCACCCCAGCTGTTGTGTAGCTGCTAAGAGTTCACCGCTGGACCTCCTTCTCCAGCAAACTGCCCTCAGGAGGTGGATGCTGCCTTGCCCTAGAGGTTATGCTCCCTCTCCTCCGTGACTCAACTGGGGGCAACTTTGTGGTGTAATTCATCCTCCAGAGGTTCCCTTGGATCAGGCTAAAGCTCAGCTTTGCTTTTGTCTACCTGCTCATTCAGCCCCTTCCCCTGCCTTGACCTGCTTTTCTCACTTCCCTTCCCCTGAAGTTCCTCTCTGACCCAAGCTCTGCTCTAGCCACACAATTAAAAACAGCAGTTAGTGCTTTATTTGGTTTCAAAGCACATTCATGTGCATTAGCCCATTAGATACTCGCAGCCTCGCTGTGAGTTAGACAGGGCCCATGTTTCTATCCCAATTTCAGCAACACCATCAGCACCTTGCCAGGGCCTAATAAATGTTAATTTCCCTCCTTTTCCTTGGTTTCTTAATGGATTGATTAATTATTCTGACTTCTTGTCCAATGAAACTAAAGCTGCTAATGTCAATCAATTAATGTTCGAAACACACTTATAGGCTCTGTGGCAATGCCTCAGTCACCATATAAAAGGGAAGATCAAGGACACATGGCCACAAAGTTTGGTTTATTTTATAGAAGAAAGTATGTCAAAGTGCATATCAGCAAATATTTTTATTAGTCTTTCCCCAAATCAATTGTATCACAGACATGTCATCAGACTTCAGTGAGTCTGAATAAGCCTGAGAACTACAGAACAACTCCTGTTCTCACTATATCTTTATGTGTCTGTCTGAGGTTTAACTTGTTTATCCAATTCTATGAAATTGCTTGCCTCTAGTAGCATTTCATAATATTTGAAACTTTTCCTTTCTATGGATTACACAGAAGCATTTCTATAAATTGTAAGTCTCAATTTACTACATCAGTCAATTCTCAAATGAGTAACTTCTGGAGGCTTACTCACCTTGTTTGAGACTTGACTATAATTCAGTCTGATGCTAACTTCACAACCATCTTCGTGGACAGTAGCAGAGATAAGCTTTTAAAAGAGTTGTAGAGAGAATTCGTAACTGTGAATGTAGGACTCACTGCCTTAAGTAACAGCATAGAAATTCTGAGATGTTAAACTCTAAATTTAACCAAATATTTAAATAACACAGAAGAAAGTAAAAAGAAAAACAGAGCAACAAAAACTAGATGAGATAAATAGAAAACAAAGAAGAAAATGGCGATCTAAATCCAACCATATCTAAATTCTACTAATTATAAATAAGCTAAATAATTAAAGAGAAGAGACTGCCAAACTGAATAAAAAGGCAAGATCCAAATCTATACATACACTTTTCAAGAGATGAACTTTAATCAAACCACATGACTAGATGTCATCACCTTGGAAAATGTATCCTGGTAGGGGGTGGGGACAGGGCTTGGTAATTAAGGGACAAGTATCACAGTTGAGCAGCTTTCTCTGTAAGTAGCAATAGGAATTCAGATTCAGTCAAGGGGCAAGAAATGTTTTCATGAAGGGTCAGATAGTAAATATTTTAGGTCTTGTGGACCATATGTTCTGTATCGTGAATACTTTACTGTCATAGCACAAAGCAGCCACATAAGTAAAGGAATGGGTGCAGCTGTGATCCAATAAAATTTTATTTATAAAACTGGGCAGTGGGCCAGATTTGTCCCAACTGCCATAGTTTGCAGATCTCTGGATTAGGCTGAAGAATTCATAAACTACCAAAATAGATTATCAAAGGAAATTGGGCAATACTTGAAAATGAGATCATCTCGATATTGGCCTATTTGGCAGCAGAAGAGTGCACAGTCTATTTCATAAAGTTCCTTCTAGTCTTGCGACAAACAGAGGAAAGGTCTTCTCATAGAGCTGTCTTTTTCTAATGGCAATGTAATATCAAAGAAAGGACATGGGACTCTGGCAGGGGTCTGACAGATCTGCTTCAAATCTTGAACCCCATGAGACCCAGCAGCGTAGTCCTGGGCAGGTCACCAAACCTCTCTGAGCTTCGATATTCCTGGGTGTCAAATAAGGCTTCTTCTGATTATCAACTGTAGTATGAAAAACCACCCCAAACTTAGTGGCATTAAACCACCACCACTTTATTATGCTATGGATTCAGAGAGGGCACAGCAGACAAGCTTGTCTTTGCTCCACATGTCTGAGGCCTCAGCTAGAAGAGTCAAATGGCTAGAGGTGGTTGGATGTTTGGGGGCTGGAATCATCTAGAATCTGGTCACTCATGTGGTTCATGAGCAGAGATGACTCGAGGACTGGGTTCAGCTGGCGCACCTACATGTGGCCACTCCATGTTGCTTGGGCTTCTCATAGCAGGGTGGCTGAGCTCCAAGAAGGAGTGTTGGAAGTGAGTGTGCCAAGCAAGAGAAAGCCACATGACCTTCTGTGGCCAAGCCCTGTAAGTCTCATGGCATCACTTCCACCATAGTCCGTTAGTTAAACAGTCACAGACCCGCCCAGATTCAAGGTGAGGGGACACAGATTCTACCATTTGAGGGGAAGACAGTCAATAAATTTGTGGTTATTTTTTTAAAAAGTGATCACAAAGTTAATACTCCTGTCTTGCAGGTTTGCTGTGAAGATGAGAATGATGAATACAATGCTGATGCTGGGTGCACTGTAAAATGGCAGCTGTTACGTTGCTATGGTTATATATTAACAGTGCATGATTTAAGTGCACAATCTGGCTGGATTTAATTGTTCTAGGACCTTTCATTCTGACTCTTAGAATTTCCAATGTGGCGTCTGAGCACGAGATGTTCAGAATCTTGTTGTCTTAGGTCTTAGGTCAGACGTCCCAGAAGCAGACTCTGAGACAATCTTCATGTGCAAATGATTTATTAGAGCAGAGTTCACAAGGCAGAAGAGTAAGAACGTGTAGAAAGCAGAACAGGAAAGGGAAAGGAGCCAGGCAAGATGCAGTTTTAGGAGAAGTCCATGGAGGGTTCCTTCAGCCTGATCCCATAGACACTTGTGGAGTAGAAATTTCATCTCACCCACCTTTCCCATCCTGGGTTCTGCAATCAAGGCCCGGAATTCAGGGTTGTTCTGAGCATAACACCTGAGGTGAGCAGAGATGTGATCCAGCTGTCTTCTCCAGTACCCTAAGAAAGAAGAGAAACCCAGCCATCTGGATGATTCTCCTGAGGCTAAGAAAGAAAAATATTAGCATGGAACATATGGTCTCAGAGAGGTTGATTTCCTTTGTCAAACTTTGTGATGGACTCTCCTTAGTAAACCTCAACTATGTCCTGGAACAAGTTCCATTTTCCCCCATAACTGTTTGCTACATGTGATTAATCACAGACTATTACAGAATCTCAAAAGAGGCCGGGCGTGGTGGCTCACGCTTGTAATCCAACACTTTGGGAGGCTGAGGCAGGTGGATCACTTGAGGTCAAAAGTTCGAGACCAGCCTGGCCAACATGGTGAAACCCTGCCCCTACTAATAATACAAAAATTAGCTGAGCATGGTGGCATGCGCACCTGTAGCCCCAGCTACTCAGGAGGCTGAGTCAGGAGAATCACTTGAATCTGGGAGGCAGACGTTGCAATGAGGTGAGATTGCACCACTGTACTCCAGCCTGGGCAACAGAGCAAGACTACATCTCAAAAAAAAAAAAAAAAAAAAAATCTCAAAAGAACGTATTTTGATTGCCACACATGGGGTCTTTTCTTTTTCTATGATTCTATCCCACCTATAATAACTTACCTAATATTTTATTTTATTTATTTTGAGATGGGATCTCACTCTGTTGCCCAGGCTAGAGTACGGTGGTGTGATCATGGCTTACCACAGCTTTGACCTCCCTGGGTTCAGATGATCCTCCCACCTCAGCTGCCCAAGTAGCTGGAAATTCAAGCATGTGCCACAACACCTGGCTACTATTTGTATTTTTTTATAGAGATGGAGTTTCACCACATTGCCCAGGCTGGTCACAAACTCCTAGGCTCAAGTGATCTGCTTGCCTCAGTCTCCCAAAGTGCTAGGATTATAGGTGTGAGCCACAGCACCAAGCCCTTACACAATATTTTAAATGTACCATTTGGTGCTTGCCAAACGTGTACACCCCAATCAATATATAAAACATTTCCATCACTCTAAAAAGTTCTCTTAGGCCCCTTTCCAGTTTGCATAGGGTTTAAGACACATTTGAATTAGTTGCCACCATTTAAAACTTGACAGATTTCATGTCAGTATGATGCCTGGTTTCTCATATGCAGGCGGAAGATGCAGGGGTGTTGGGCTCACCTTCCCACACAGGCTGACCACCTGAGGCCAAGGAACAGCTGGCTGCTTTGGACAGGGCACAGGCTCTCCAGCCGGCCACAGCCCCTGCTGTGCCCTGTGGCCACTCGACTCTGCAAACTCACATCAGATCCCATCTACCAAATAAAGACACTAAGCTGAAAGCAATCAGAGGGATTTTCCAAGGTCATGCAGCACGGTTCAGTGGAAAGAGCACATAATTTGGAGTTCAGACAAGCCTGCGTTTAAATCCTAAACCTACCATTTATTAGCTTAGTGATGTTGAGCCAGACACTTAAATCTCCCTAAGCCTTAACTTTTCTTACCTAATAAAATGGAACTAATACCCCCTACCTCATGTGTTATTGTGACATTAAACAAGAGAACCTAAGTGTTCTTAGTTGTGTTCCCCTGAAAGCAGAACCTGAGATAAAGACTTAGGACAGGTGGTTTCTTTGCAAGGTGACCGTGGGACATGCAAGTGATGGAGTATAAAGAGCAAGACAGGGAAGGGAAGGAAGAACGAATGTGTTAAAAACTGGTTAATACCTTGGGCAACTGGGGCCCAATCTTGCTGGGGATATGAGGGACCATGGAGAACATGTCTCACAGTTGTCCGCTGAAGGACAGAGAAGCTAGGGGATCTGCTCCCTGGTTCCTTTGCCCATGAGTGAGGGCAGCCCAAGTAATGTTAACTCCCAGTGCCTCAGGGTTGCACCTGTGTGCGGATAGGCAGCCTTCTCCTGTTCTGAAGCTGGAGGCAGCAAAGTCAAGAGACATACAACTATTTAAATAAAACAGCAAGAGAGAGAATGGGGCACAATTGATGAGGCATGCTAGCAACGATGGGTGAAACCATCCATCACAGCTGCACTGAGAACGGGCAGGCTGAGATCTGGCTTGGGGCATCTGGAGAGTCCACTATGAGTAACTGAGACAACACTAGAGATCATACTGAGCCTAGCGCACTGTTTGACACAAAGTAGCCATTTATCCCACAAATATTTACTGGGCACCTACCATTGGTCATCTACTATTCTAGGGCTAGGATACAGAAGTGAACAGAGTTCTTGCCCTCAAGGAGCTTACATTCCTAGTGGACACAGATAATAATGAAAATAAATACGTATGTAGGAGTATGTTAAAAATGAGGTTCTGACTGAGAAGCTACAATACCATAGATCCATATTTCTTTTTTTTTTTTCAGACGGAGTCTTGCTCTTGTTGCCCAGGCTGGAGTGCAGTAGCATGATCTCGGCTCACTACAACCTCCACCTCCCAGGTTCAAGCCATTCTCCTGCCTCAGCCTCCTGAGTAGCTGGGATTACAGGCACCCACCACCACACCTGGCTAATTTTTGTACTTTTAGTAGAGACGGGGTTTTGCTATGTTGGCCAGGCTGGTCTCAAACTCCTGACCTCAGGTGATCTGCCTGCCTCAGCCTCCCAAAGTGTTCTGATTACAGGCACGAGCCACCACGCCTGGCCTAGGTGTATATTTCTAAAATCAAATCTCAACTCTCAAAAAAGCACTGAGCAAGGACCTTGTGAGGAAGTCCTTTGGAAAGGGTCATTGTAAGACTGTGAGTCCCCATGGGGAGGTGAGATCTGTGCCCTTCCAGCTCAGGCTGAACGAGGGGATTTGAAGGGACTAGCTTCTGCCACAGGAAACTGAAAACCTGTTTCTATTATCCACTGCTACCAAACAAAACACCCCAGAACTTAGTGGTTTAAAACATCAACCACTTTACTGCCCATACTTCTGTGGGTCAAGAATATGGTCAGTGCTCTGCAGGGATGGTTCATCTCTGCTCCACATGGTGTCAGTTGAGCCATCTCAAATAGGGCTATGGGATCCAAGATTATCTCATCCACAAGGCTAAGGCCTCAGTGAAGATGGCACAAACTACTGGGAGCTGTCTGGGATGGCTCAGCCTTCATCTGCACTCATTTAAATGTCTGGAGTCTTTGGGTTGGGTGCTGGCTCAGGTGCTCTGTTCTCCTTCATGTGGCATCTCTTCTAATTCAGTAATCTGTACTGAACTTCTTTACACAGTGCTGACTTCTTAGAGAGTTAAGTGGAAGCTTTCAGCTCTCATAAGGCCTAGGCCCAGAACTATCATGGTGTCTCTTCTACTGCTCTCTATGTCAAAACAAGTCACAAGGTCAGTCCAGATTCCAAAGGAAGAGAAATAGCCTCTTCCTCCAAAGGACAGGGGGGATGTGAGGAGTGATTCTGGTCTTCTCTGCAGACAATCTACCATAGGTCTGATATGACATTTATATCTGGAAGAGTTCAGTCAGACTGTGGGCTGGGTTTTGACTCCTACTAAGCATATCCAGATGGCAAAGGAAGAGCTGGGAATGACCAACTTCTCGCATGGCAGCCTAGGGAATTGAGTGGACTTACTCTCCAGTAAAATTGTTAGAGTAGTTAGCTAGGGAGACATGAGCAGGGCAGGAAAGGCTCCCCTGACCCCCAGAAATGTCAGGCGACCATCAGATGATGGTCAGGCAGTTGTTAAACTTTCTCTAAAATAACAATTGGCTGCAGCTGGTGCCAGGGGACAGCGGTCTCCCAATATATAGAAAACACCTGAAGCTGGTGATCAGCAGCTTCCCGACGAGATCGCAGGAGTTGGGCGAGTGGGCTCAGGCATGTGCACTAAGAGGAAAAATGGCAGAGCTTAACTGGCACATGATCTTTCTCCAGGAACACTCAATGGATAAGGGAATGCCTCAAGTGAGCAAGCACACGACTTCAGTAAACATACGGCGCATGTGGTCCCTCCCAAGTACTGGCAGGCCACTGCGCATGGGGAGTGCCCACCAAGAAGAATCTGGGGAGAAGTAATGCAAACTCTGGAACCATGCCAATGTATAAGCCTCACGTCAAGGGCTGAACAGAGCACTTGAATCTCTCAAGTCACCCGCTTGGCCTTCTTCAAAGTGTACTTCCTTTCGTTCCTGCTCTAAAACTTTTCAATAAACTTTCACTCCTGCTCTAAAACTTGCCTCAGTCTCTCACTCTGCCTTATGCCTGTCGGCCAAATTCTTTCCTCCTTGGAAGCAAGAACTGAGGTTGCTGCAGACCTGTATGAATTCGTCACTGCTAACAAACTACTTTTAAAAACAGCAAAATCCATCACAAGTATTTTAAGTATCTAGAAATGGTTCTAAAGCCATACAGAAAATAAACATTTAATGAAAATATACCAAAACTCAGAATCATGAGAGTCTGTGGTGTTTGAACCATGGGCCATTCCCTTCTACTCCTTCTCAGCTGAGCATGATGGAAACTCCACTCCATTTGGTGCAGCTGAGTACACAGGGTTCCCTCTCCTCAGAGTTCCCAAAGCGGTGTAGTATCTTCCAAGGAAGGTCAGGGACTTCAGTATTTCTCATCCTGTCCCAGTTGCGCTTTGCACAGGCTAAGTTCTGGCCAAGTGTGATCAAGAGATGGGGGCTCCCTTTCTCTGCCCAGTTACCATTCATGGGATGGACGTTCTACCTTTGATCTGGGACACTGAGAATACTGGGGTCCAGACCACCTATTCCTGGCTCATTCAGCACAAGTCCAATGTTGGGAGAAGCATGTCATGAAGAACAAAAGCTACGGCTGCACCTGCTCTGCTGCTTACCCAGCCCCTAAAGCAATGGTGCCACACTGAAAAAAACATGCCATTGTCTCCATCCAGAGCATTGGCTCAGAGATTTTGCCCAGGGGAAGAGGCAGGTCAAAAAACAGAGTTCAGAATCTCTCCCCATAGAAACAGACTTCATTTGCAACAAAGTGTGGGAAAGTTCAAGCCTAAGGCTGCTTTCAAAACAATGGAGGGTGTGTTAAAAAGCAGTT